TAGCGTAGGTAACAAAACTTTGCTTTGTACGGATTTTGTTTTTCCTCTCAGTCTGCAGGAACAGTTACGTTCTTGTTTCTGATGGAATTCCCCCAGAAGCCCTCATGTGACACATACTGAAATGCTCCACCTAACTAATAACAAAAAGTCACAGCATTATCTGCAGGTTCTGGTTACACGTTCATTTATCTGTTTTCAGGCTTTATTTAACCTTCCAGTGGAATGTTTGACCTTAAGTTCTCATCGTCCTGACAAACAACACCTCTATCTGAACAACAACATTTTTTTTTTACTTACTGCTGATGTAGAGTGTGGTGTCCTGCTCTCACAAGTTTTAATCATCCCAGCTGAATAGGATCCAAGATGATCTGTGTGTGTGTATATATAATTCACGTTTTAGAGAGAGTAATAACACACCTCATTCTGTCTTCCTGTTTGTTGCAGCTCCTCCTCTGGAAGTGAATATCACTGAAAGGTCGGCACACTCCTTTGAATGTCTCACAGAGGCATATCCAGCTGCGAGCTTTACTTGGACGAGGTACAGACATTTAAATAATCTGATTCCAGAGCAAAACATTTTTACAGAAAGCAAACAAAAGAACAAAGATAATCGTGTCTCCTGCTGCCTCTCATAGGCCCACCCAGGTGCATGCTGGTCCTCTACCTGCCTCTTACTTAAATAACCTCTGGTGCCCACAGTGTTACCAAATACCTAACAAAAATATTAATGCAAAGCTAAATTTACTAAACAAACAACTAGCAAAAAGAAAACATTACCCAAAATGTAGAATAATTAAATAAACAACAACACCCAAATATTAATAAACTAAACACCAAAACTAATTCTAACAACAATTAAATAGCTCCAACAAAAACAAAAAATGTGTTTTAATGGAGTTGAAAGTAAATTTGAAGAAAAAAGAAAACATATTAATTGACAATCAACACTGAGAATTAGAGGCAGCAAACTAAGTGTCTGCTTATCCAACACTGTAACAACACAGGGAACTGTAGAGAAAAATAAGATAGAACTTTATCAGAACCAGATAGAGACAGGAACTCAAAAGCAGACTCACACGTGGCTGAGTTCAGGAACAGGCAGAGTTTAATTACAGTCCAGGTCAGTACACAGGAAGGCAAATCTTCAAGGCAAACAAATCCAAAGGGAGCAAGTCTAACACGGGGATGTATACACACAGACAATCAGGGCAGGAAAACATGAGGAGGAGGATCTGAAAAACATGACACTAGGTAACTTTATGGATCCTGTCAAACTTAAGAATTCATATAATTCCATAAAATGAATTAGCCTGGAACCAATCAGTTGATTTTGCAGGACCTTGTTTAAAGGTCCCATATTCTTCTTTTGCTGGTTTTATTTGCTCTTTAGTGTGTTTTCCAAGTGTCCTGTACATGTTTAGGCACATCTATGTGCAAAAATTCAAAGTCTGCGGAAACGCAGCTTCTCCTACGTCCTCCTGTTAGCTGTAGCATTAGCTGCATGTAACGCTCGGCTCTAGCCCCCCTCGATAAAAATGTGTCAGTCTGACGTCATTGTCGGTGTGAGATCACTGATCTAAGCCCATTGGCTCGTAGTGGCAAGCCCAGCAGCTCATGTTGAGATTTCCGAGACGCGTGCTGAGCAACTGACCAATAACGACGGAGCGGATCTGCAGACCAATCAGAGCAGACTTGGCCCACTTGGGTCTAACAGTGTGGGCTCAACAGAGTGTAGCTGACGGACTCAGAGTGTAGAGGGAGCAAGGAGGAGCAGTACATGAAAACAGACACTTTTTAGAACTTTATCTATTGTGAACGTACAAAAGTAGGAACATAGATTAAATATATGAACCCCAAAAGGGGCAGATTATGACCTCTTAAAGAGATTTATGCAGAAAAAATATCAATCTGTTCTATTTTATATCAGTTTTTTGGAAGTGGACATTTTTGTCCTTAGTGACTTAAGAGGGTCGTAAATTAATCTGATGCCTGAGGGTTAAGGGAGCTATCATCAAGTTCATATGACACTTTCATGATTCAGAAGGTTCTTCATCAGTAGCAGCCATGTTTTTGCTCTTAATGAAAAGTCTCATCGGTGTCTGTATGGGAGAGATCAAATGCATCTACTGGAGCATGTAAAGCATTTGTTGAGTTTGCATAGTGGTGAGCTCCCAGCCAACTGTAACCAGGCACCATGTCTCCTAGCAACCAAAGGTCATTGGTCCTCCTTCATAAGGTTTTAATGACACAGTGCAGATGTTGCAAACAAAAAAAGATGCACATGTTAAATATGATGCGAAGCAACGACTGCAACCACGTCTTCACTGTTGAACATTAAGAACGCTCCAGTGATCCCTTAAACTGTGTCAAAGTCTATTCATGCTGTTTATTTCAGTGTAAAAAAACAGACCAAGACTGTTAAAGCCCACTAACAGCAGAGGAGCAAGGTGTTTCTATATATAACTGAGGACATGATGATGGGATTGTTTGATGTATGGTTTGTTGAGGGAACTGTCAATAGTAATAGTGAAAAGTGATTGCTCCAATAATAATTGATAAAATGTATAATTTTAAAAAATGTCAAAGGAAAAGCTCCTTGTTATTTAAAGAAGTGTTATAGTCATAATGATGCAGAAAAAAATGTGAATTTATTGGTATCTAAAGCTCAGTCTAAAAGGCACATACTGTGCAAAATACACTCACCCAAATTAGTCCATCTTCTCTTTCTTCTGCCTGCTCCACTTTCAGAAAACGTGTGCTCAAACAGGCCGTTTGGAGATTTTCCCTTTGTGACATCACAGGAGGAAATAACTCTTCCAAATGGGTGGGTGACACTCCCACAGTCCGCCTTCTCACCCTAAGTAGTTGGGCATGGTGCAAGAATCGGGCGGCAGTAGCTCAGTCTGTAGGGACTTGGGCTTCCTGATCACTGCCGAGGTGCCCTTGAGCAAGGCACCGAACCCCAAAACTGCTCTGGAGCACTCGCTGTGAGATCTCTCTATTAATGCATGTCCACAGGATCCTGTTTGTGCATGTGTGTGTAGCATGTTCATTAAACAGAGTGTAAATAAAGGATTAATAAAGGATAAATTATAAATTAATAAGGCCCAAGCTCTTCTAGAGGGACGGGTGAAAAACACAGCTCATTTACATATTTAAAAGTACAGACACAGAAACAGCCTGTTCTGAGCAGGGCTGAAATAGAGGGGTTTATAAAATACAGGATCAGAGTAAACTAAACTAAACTGAAAACAACAACAGTGGAACAGCTTCCCTCTGTTTTGGTAGTGGAGTGGTCTCTGAAGTGGTTACAGGCACACAGTAGAGTACTGCACTGTTTACATTTAATAGGGCGCTGCTCCTTTAAAAATGAACAATAAAATACAAATAAATGGATACCGTTGTCAGATATATATATATGTTTTTTTTTTATGCAGCTACAGCATGAAATAGTTTAGCTTAGCTTAGCTTAGAAGATAAAAAACTGTGGGAAACACACAGCATTGTTCCAAGTGAAGTTTCTGTCACTTTGGGATATTGTTCAGATTAAACAGACGATATCTTTGGTTATCAGGTGAGACAGACTAAGAAACAGCTTCTTTCCCAGAGCTGTGGAAAAACTCCTCAACCCATAACCTCCCCCCCCCCCCCCCAAACAAGACGGGAATACAATGTGCAATAATTACCTAACCACTGCTAACTGTTCAATATTACTTGTGCAATAACTTTATAATTCACTGCTTTATAATTGTTTATTTATTTACTCAGTCACTGCACAATAACAACTCTATATACTCTTTCACTGCACTATAACTTCACTTATCTGCACTATCTCTCTATATATATTTATTTGTTTACCTAATCAGTTACTGCACAATTATAACTGTATATATTCTTTCAGTCACCACAACTGTCTATTTATTATTATTATTATTATTATTATTATTATTATTGTTATTATCATTATTATTATTGTTATTATTATTATTATTATTATTATTATTATTATTATTATTATTATTATCATTATTATTATTGTTATTATTATTATTATCATTATTATTATTGTTATTATTATTATTATTATTATTATTATTCATTCACTGAACAGCAGTTGGCCACTCTGGCCACTTTTCACAAACATATTTGTCTTCATATTACCACAAATATATTTTTGTTTTTGTAAACGCTCCTGTATAGGATTGCTGCTAACCAAGTTTTCTTGTGTCCTTGTATACAATGATAATAAAGATTCTATCTTTCTATCTATGCCTTTAGAAAGGATTAAATAGTTTGTATTTGATTTCATGTCTTTGCAAAACTTTCGACAGATGGTGACCCTTTTTTGTTTTTGGGGCTGGAAGTCTTTGTTAAGCTCAGCATTGTTCTAACTTTCAGATCTGACCGGTCGTGGCCTCAGTCCGGGGTCCGAGTTGATGGTTCAACGCTGCAGTTTCTGAGCATCACCTCCGAGCTGAACGGCCTCTACCAGTGCGAGGCGTCGAACTCGTATGGGAGTAAACGTGCTTACCTCCGTGTGCATTTCACCTCAGGTGAGATCCCTTTTGACTCGCCTCCAGTTATTTCAGCAGCCAAATGAGTTTATTATAGCAAGTTGTTCCCGTGGAATCCTTAAGGACATGGTGAGAGTTGAAATGCTGGATATACTTGATTAGGATTCCTCTGAGACTCCTCTATGCCGAGAATATTGAGATTTTTAAACGCAGTCTGAAAACTCATTTATTCAGTCTGGCTTTTATATAGCGCTTTATATAAATTCAAATCTTAACATTATTGTTTTGTCTTTTTAATCCTACTACAATTTTAAAATTCCTCTCCTATGTATAATTTAATATCTTATTGCTTTTATTTATATTTTATTAATTCTTATTGGTGTGCATTAGTCTGTCAGTGATTTTATAAACTACTTTTTCGTCAATAACTTTTCTGCACTCTTGTAAAGCACTTTGAACTGCAATTTAATTTGTCTGAAAAGTGCTATATAAATAAAGTTTGATTGATGTGTGTAGATATTTCAGCTGTGTCCAACTGTAAGAAGAGGGTCCAGGATACCCTGGTTACACAACAATAGCTCCTGCACATGGCACAGGAATGCCTTTAAAGTTGCTTTAGCCTCCCTCTCTGAGCCGCCCTTTGAAAAAAAAGGCTTTAAAAGCCGACAGTGAACACCAGCTCATCTTTGCAAAACAATTGACCTATTATGGTCAAACATTCCAACATGTGAGGATGAAGCTTGTTTCACAGCTGTTCTCTCTTGAGTTTTGCAGCAGCTGTGTGATTGAAAATATAACTGTTACTGTAGATCTGTTGTCTTTTAGGGCATCTGTATGGAAGATACTATCAAACCTGAAACCAACAGGGATCAGTATCATTTAAAAACACTTTGTTAAAGTATCAGAGTGTTAAAAACGCTCACATCCCACAATAAAGATAACTTGTTATGTTTAGTATGTTATTCACAGAATGCTATTTAATCATTAACCATTAGCAGCTGATTTAATGCCTGGCTGGATGGCAGCTGTCAGCAAATTGTTAACATAACTGAGCTGGGTAGTTTTTTGTTTTTTCTGCCTGAAGCTCCCAGTGTTACCTGATCTGTCTGGATCTGATCTTAGTGCTGAAGGAAAAGGAGCTGAGACATTTAATGAGCTTCAAAGTGTGATTCACTGCAGGCCAGTTGTACTAATTCAGATTCAGACAACTTTATTAATCCCAGAAGGGCAATTCAGTTTCACAGCCTACTGAGTCTTGTAAAGAAAAAACAAAGACAATAAACAAAATGAGAAGCCAGAGCTAGCAAATCTAGAAATTCCAGATATGTATCTAATAAACAGATACATTCTACAATTCACTTAGCAGACTCTTTTATCCAAAGCGACGTACATCAGAGAGTAAGAACAACACAAGCAAGGATCTAGAAAAAAGGGAACAATGTGAGTAAGAGCAAACGATCAGCTTTGAGTCTGATTGGACACACAGGTGCTGACAGGAAGTGACCAGAGGCAAAGCACAACATTGAGGGCAGTTCTTGAGAGCTCTAATCAGTATAGAAACCATCTTATAAGTCGTCGTTATCAAACAAAAACCATCGTCATTACCATCATCATCATCAATAATATGGAGACCATCATCATTAAGTTAGTAGGTATTCATGAAAGAGCTGGGTCTTTAGCTTTTTCTTAAAGGTGCAGAGGGACTCTGCAGATCACATGGAGTTTGGAAGTTCATTCCACCACGGGGGGCGACAGAGGAGAAGAGTCTAGTCAGCGTCTTAGGACCCTGTTGTGAAGGTTGGATCAGACGCCTTTCATTGGAAGAGCGTAGTGGGGGGGGGGGAGTGTAGACCTGGATCAGAGAGTTAAAGTAAGGAGGAGACGTTTTTGTCGCTGTTTTGTAATCGAGCAGCAGAGTTTTAAATTTGATGCGAGCAGTAACTGGGAGCCAGTGTAAGGAGGTGAACAGCTCTTTTACATAAATGAATGGACCTCACAGGTCACCTAAGGGTGCAGTAACAGTCCATTCAGTACTGGGCTGCATTGGATTAAATTAACTGGTCGTGCAAATCTGTACTTCCTGTTACTTCTTCATGTTCTCCTCTGTCCTGTCTCTCTACAGGATCCTGCACTGCCAGTTGGACCCTCTTTGTTCTTCTGCTCGTCCTCGTTGTTGCTGCTGTCTTGTGTTGCTTCTATAAACGTATGGAAATTGCAAGGTACGAAATATGAAAGTATCTCAAACACTACAGTGAACTATTCAATTCTACTATTAAATATAAAAGCTTATACGGTTACATACTGTGACTACTAACTTTTACTTTTTTTATTACCTTGTAGATTCATACTACGGGAAGAAGGCGGCACACGAGGCAAGAGGCAAAAGGTTCCAACGACTTCCAGCTCACCTGAAGGCCATGACAGAGTAGAAGAAGATCGAAGGGGAAACAGAGGTAAGATATTTGTTACATGGTAGGTATTCAGGGAAAGGTGAAATTCCATTGGTCATGTGACGATGACATCATCAGCTTCATGTTGCACTAACACCTCCAACATCTTCACCTGCATATACCTGCTGCTGTCTGTTTTCAACCAGTGCAGTTTGACCTGAGAGACAGAAGCTCCTGAATGCATCACAAAAAGGCCTTTTCCAATGTAGTGACTTAACAACCTAAGAACTCCCAATGGGTTTCCTTTTTCAAGTTATTCCAAGATTTATATAAAATTAAAAAAAGACTATTTGCAGACTGAGTGGAAATAAATCAAGTTTTAATGAAATGTTTTTGCCTTCTCTTCCTCAGGGAGAGCTTTGAAATCAGTCGAAGCAACAGAAGAGGATCACAGCTGGACTGAAGGTGATTTGCAGACTTCCAACACTATTCATTCCTGACGCAGCCGTTAGTGAAAATAGGCAGTATTCCTGGTGCTTTACATTTGGTTGATGTCATTGACATTGGTTTTAAAAATAGCCAATTTCTCAATTCAGATATTTAAAGTTATTGTTCCAAATATTACAACTGAACAGCTAGTAGTATTATCAAAAAAAGAATGTCAAAAATGAACCTGAAGGTTAAGAGCTTTTCTGAAGAGTCACCAAAATATGAAAGTCAGCTACAATGTTGATGTAGAACTAACAAGGCAAAATTGGAAGAAGTCAAAAAGGAAGGAGACCGTTTAACTGTCACCACAAATGCAAAGCAGTTTTTAAACATGAAGGCCTGTGGCTTTAACCGTCAGCCACCAGGAAGGTACTCTGTTTTCACACCAACAGTATTAACTGCTGGTCACAGCAAATGAGTATGAAGCATGTGTACATGCACACAGAACAGAACAGGTTTTGAAAGGAAAGTAGGAAAGAAGATTTTGAGATTTGTTTTTGTGTCTTTGTGCCAATCTAAGTAGTGCCTATAAACGAGGTGATCCTTACAGGAAAAGTTGAAGCACTAACAAGCCTTACCCAGCATTTTGTAGTCAGGCTATCAGTCTGCTGCTGTGACTTTTCACAGAGTTAAACAACTGAAATACACATTCAAGCACCTAAATTATGTTGTTTACAGGTCATTAGCACTTCAGTTACAAAGCTGCTAAGAGGAGCTTTCATTTTGTGTTCAATTTGACTACTACCCCCTGGTGGCTGAAATGGGTACCGATTTGTGTGAAGATGTTTTTTTTTTATCTTTCCATGGCTATTTAAGATCGTAACTGTGATAACAAAATGCAGTTATTCATTATGTTATGTTATGTTATGTTATGTTATGGGGGCGGCTGTGGCTCAGTTTGTAGAGTCATCACCTCTCAACCGGAAGGTCGAGGGTTCGATCCCCAGCTGTGCAACATGTCCGATGTGTCCTTGGGCAAGACACTTAACCCCGCATTGCTCCTGCTGCTTCAGTGGCGGTGTATGAATGGATTAGTTTTGTACTTACTCTCTGATGTATGTCTTGTGTCTGCTAAGTAAACTGTTACATTGTAACATGTTTTGATGACAATAAACTATCATCAATGTGTAATCAGTAGAGTGTTCTTTTAGACTGATAGCTGCAGTGTGTTTTTTTTTATTAAAGTCCTGTAAAGCCTTGCTTATCTTTTTTTACTGATGATGTTTTCTACATTTTCCCTTCATGCACTAAGCCTTATTTTATCTTACTTTGTTCTGCTGTGCATTTTATTGTTATTCTTTTTGGAAAGTTAAATCTAGATAACCAATGATGCTTTAACCACACTTTGATGCAAGACACTTTTTGTTTTTTCTTTTTTAGCTGTAAAACATTTCACTTCCTGCTCTATGGTTATCTGTTTGCTTTATTTAGCATTTTATTTGAACTGTTAATTTATTAAAGCTTGTAGAAAAACATCACAAATTCTTCAATCCCATGTCGTTCATTTGTGTGTCCTCCTCACATACCATCCCTTATCTGTGGTTAGCTAGGGATCGTTTTTCTTCATGGGTTGGACTATGACACCTTTTTTTTACCACAAAACAAATACCCACAGTGAGGGCAAAGAAAGAGACCAAAGCTTGTCTTCATGACTGAATCAATGGAAACAGCACCTGACAGGAAGCTGGGCTGAAGGAAACAAAAGTCCCTTCTTCGTTGTGAGACAGGAATGAATGACTTGTTAAATGGGCTGTATTTCTGTATTTCTGCTATGTTACAAAGACCCGGTCTATCCATCATGAGCACTTTAGCAAAGCAGCAAAAGTTACAGTGGTAAGAAAAAACGTTCTTATTAAAAGGCAGAAATCTTCAGCTGGATCCCCGGCTCATGATGAAACAGCCTTCACAGGCCTAGACTGCGCCGGGCTTGGAAAGGGATAGGGGGAGAGATGGGATAAAATGCAGGAAGAGGGATAGGGAGCAAGGGGGTGATGACGATTGATGACGATTCTGACGTCAAGTCGGCAAGACGAGCACCTCCTTCTTTTCCGAGTTTCCGACTTGTTGTTCCGACTTGAGCAGGTGTTCATGTGCATTTTACAACTCGGGCATCGTTTTTCCGATGTGCCTGACACCCTGAATGCACCATCTGCCAATTGTGCCGTTCGATGACGTTACCACTGTTATTAGCCAATAGTTTATCTGTTTATCTGGAACAGTGAATTTAGTTAACACATGCTTTGGAGAACGATCTAATTACTGTCTTCAGAGAAAAAGTTATGCAAGTACACAAAACACAAATGTGGTCAATTTTGTCCTGCAACCTCGTGGTGCCAATACATTAATGGACTAAATGGTAGGCTGCTGGCATGTACAACAGAAGAGGTCCACCGAGAGTGGATTGTTTTTAATTCTGCCAAATGTGCTTTCCTCCATCATTCATTTTGCCACTTGTTAAACTCTCAGGACCAGATTTACTGAGCTCCCAAGTAAAGAGTACTAAATTGCGCGTTCACTCCAAAAGTTTGCACGTTTGGTTGGTGGGCGTTTTGCGGGAGATCTACTAAGAAAATTTGCGTGAATGACACCACTACTGGTTTCTACTGGTTTACATCATGGAGAGTTTGGACAGAAAGCCAGATGACTGCAAGCGCAAAATAGGTCTTAGTGAGAGAGGCAAATAAACGCACAATACTTTCGAGTTATAGAAGATAAATCTGAATATTACAAAGAAACTTTTGGTTATAAGAAAACCTCGGCGTTAAACAGGGCCTCTCTTTTCTTCCCTTCATCTTAAGAATGAAGTGTCATACATTGAGCAGGAGGTGTGAGCTGTGTCCTCTGTGGACCGGGCGCTCTACACTCCCTGTTGTTGCGCAGCAGACAGCTGGTCAGCGCTGTGTCTGATCGGACATAAATGCCCTGGAAAAAGGTATCGAAGACGGGGGTACAAACAGTGGTGAGGTCCCCTAATCCAAGCGTCCTACGGAGTAGCAGCAGCTTTAGAGGGAGGAGACGAGCGCATTATGGAGAGGAGCGCACCGGAGGGGGCGAGCTGGGGGAGAGACGCGCAACCCGAGAAAAAGGAAATCCCCAGTTTAAAATGTAATGTTGGTGAAAAGAGAGAAATAGGATGACATAAATGTCAATGTTGAAATTCTATAGAATTCAGAGGCTGTGAATGTTCAGTTTTGTTTGGCTAGATGGCAACAACAGCCTGTAGTTTAATCACGTTGTTTATCTTTCTTAACAATTAGAATATTGAATCAAATTAAAAAATAAAAGCATGCCATTTATTTTTCTGTCATTTGAAAGATGGAAACACTGTGATGTTGTAGGTAAAATGTTCTCTGAATTTCCATGGCAAAAATACATTTTTGTCCTCCTCCTGGTCGTTTGTCTCATCCTCTGCCATTGTCATTGTGTGGAAAGTGCTCTCGCGCATTGACTTGCAGCGTACCTGCGCACATAGAGCCACCTGCTACCTGCGTGTAGTGCCGTAAAGTAATCCCTATAAGTAATCCTTTTTTGAGAAAGTAACTGTATTCAGAATACACCAATTTAAACTGTAACTATAACGGAACACAGTTATTCTTATTTTGTATTTTAAATACGTAACGCCGTTACATGTAATCCGTTACTTCCCAACCCTGCGTTTCAGACAGGGAATCTAAAGGCCAATATGACACAACAACTATAAAATAAAAAGGACAAGAAAGCCAAAAACAATAAATTCATCAATTCAATTAATTAAGAAAGAAATATTAACAATAATGAAATTATATTTCAACTTTTGTTTAGGTTTAGATTAAGTGAAATACTAAGGCATACATAAGGTGTAAGACATAAAAAGATCTTATACATCTCAAAGTATTTAGGAAGTCAAATAACTTAATTTAAAAATTCTGAATTTCCCCCACAGAGGGGATGAATCAAATATTGACTTATCTATCTAATATAGGGTAACAAGATATCTATCTATGAAATTTGTTAATCTTGAGATAAGCTTAAATAATTTAAATTTCTGTAAAAAAATACTTGGCAAGTGTAATCAAGTTATTTAATGATCAAGTTATTGCATTTTTTTTCTATAATCCAGGTAGAGACAGGCCCTTTAAAAATCAGGACATTTCCAGTCATACTCCTCAGGTTGAGTACATAAACAGGTACACAATGAGAGACGTTCAAATAAAAAGAGCCGTAAATAACTGAAAGCACAAAATATAACAAAGTGAAATAACTGAATTACAACAGGGCTATCTCAAAGTGCAGTTATCCCCAAACTTTTAAACACATTTCCATAAACTGTCACCCAATTTCTCAACACCTCAGAGACAAAAAAAAGAGTGAACTACTTTGTGAAAACTCTACAAATGTCTTACAAAGTGAAACAAAGCTAAAAACCATGTCCCCTCTTCTCTAAACTGATTCATTTAACCAAAACAATACACACTGATGTGAACAATTCAAAACACTACCATCAAAAGTGTTCATGTATGTTTTGGATGAGAAGCAAAAGAAAAAAAAAAACCTTCATGTGCAAGCACCTAGTAAGAGAGAGTACCCTGCTGATGAATGTAGACACAGAGGGGTTTTCAAGTGGGCACTCTCTTCCTCAGTGTTTTTGTTGTTGAGCTGACGACGTCTCAGGAGGGCTCAACAGCGCCCTCTGGTGTCCCAGAAAACATCCCCTATATGTCAACCTGGACTGCTACTTTGGGTCCCAGCAGAGGTCTTGCATCTTCATCCATAGCCATTGGCTGTTTCTCTCTGCAGCTTTGGTCGCTTCCTGCAGTTTCTGGCCTCCTAGGTCTCTAAGCAGCTTCAAACCTAAGGCAGGTGAGTTTATTTATGTCACACATTTCAACAACAAGGTAATTCAAAGTGATTCACACAAGACATCAAAAAGCATCATGACAGAGGAAAGAA